TTGAAATTCTATTTTCATAATTTGGGAAATGCATGGGAATTGCGCGCGCTTTAGTAAGCGCGCTAGGAATTTGGCCCGACAGTTAGAAATTTCAAAATAAACGGAACTCGACGTGTCCTTTTGTGCATGAATGTTCTTGACTGCGTGGAGGAAAACTCTGGAAATTTGGTGGGAATACGAATGGATGTAGGACTGCCTTTTCCCGCGGCTACTTTACGCGCGAATGAATCTGTAACTGTTTTGGTGCCTCTTTTTGCATTTGTGATCACCGCCATGATGCAAGCGAGCTTCCCCCTTTCTGCTCCCCTCGCCATCTTCGACGCTCGCTTCGCGCCATCGCTCACTCTCCTGCCGTAACCGTTTTTCCCTCTCTCTCTCTCTCCCCGAGCGCCTTTTCTCTTTCTTGATCATCTAAATCTTGAATCCGTTTCGCGCTATCCTGCACAATTACGCGACGACTCTGATTGGCTTTGATAGGACTCAGCAGGATCGACATGGCTTTTGTCGGGCAATTATCCCCAAGTCCTCTCTCACCCTTCCCTGACTCAACCTTCATCCTCCCTCGTACCTACCTCCCTTCCCGCAACTATAAATTCCACAAGCGCGCTCACAAATCTCTCTCTCAACTCGTCTGCCAGCTTCCGGGAAGCAATGGCTAGATGGTATGTGTGGAGTGCGAGTCTAAAAGTCCTGACGTGCTGACTGTAGCCTGGCCGGCGGTGCGCTTGATCGCCATGACGGATTGTGGGATCCGGGCAGGCCGTCTCGAGACTAAGTCGGCGGGGTGACGATCGCAGTGGTGGAAAGTGGCACGTGACGACTGGGATCGTCAGTGCATGCATGGGGATAGTGATCAAAGTTGAATGGATGAATGACCTGGGGCAATAGTGGAACTTCACGACGGATGCGCCTCCTTGTCTCGAATCTATTCCTTGGAGTGAGTTCAGTTTGATGGCAGTTAAGCCGAAAACTTTTTTTCATCATTGGATCTTGGTGTAATTTTCATCTACCTTGTCTGCTCCGCGTCTTTTTCCTCCCTACCTTCTCTCTCTCTGTGACATGAACGATTTTGGATGTTTGTTGATCTATTGTACGCAAGGAATGAGATGATTGTTCTGACTAACGCCTAATCAGTTGTGGAATAGGGGTGTAGAGCACACAGAGAACTGAGTGTTGTGCGAATGCCATTTTCGCACCTTCCTCGATGGATGTCTGTGAGAAATGAATGAGAATGCTTGGATGATGTCATGATGAGGCGATTGCCTGGTGGACGTGTCTCCGACTAAGTCGTAGGATCGTTGTGATTAATATGTAGGATGCCTGCTAGATAAGATTTCACTATTGCCATGTGGACGAATTGTCCCGAGCCTACTGGGCGCCGGCCTCCCGCATCCCCGCCGCGTCCCTTCCCGTATAACGAGAAGAGGACACGTGTATGCGAGTGGGACGTACGAGAAGTCGTCGCCAAGATCGCCAGAAGATACTACTTCCCTCCTGAAACCCGATGCTCTGGATTTGTCAGCGCTGGTTTTGTTATTGTGGATACACACTTTCCTCCTTATTCGTTGCTATTGCCGTTTAATGAGCTGATCGTCATCCCGTGGTCGGCAGTAGCGCCCCATTGGCCTAACACTCCGTGCAGCGATTGTCGCCGCTTCGAGCGTTACCAATCGAAAGGCTTTCACTACCGCGTACGAGAGGAAGATGAGCACAAGGAAAGAGCCACTCGGTTACGGCCTTCCACGTCAGATTCAGAGTTGTGTAATGAGCGCCGTCGGGACGTGACCCGGAAACGGGATACCAAGTATGTGTCCGCCCCCTTCCATGCGAAACGAAAAGCGATGGCTCGATGGGAAGTTCAGCGATACTTTTTGGATTGAACTCCCCCGCGCCGTGCGTCCCGTGCACCCTTTTTTCTCCCTCAAAACCCGCGCAGTGACGGACCCTCCCCCTTCTTACTAAGTTGAATCAGCACAGGGGATTTCAGTTCTGTCCGTGTCCCCACACTCAACTTTCCAAAAATCCTTGCCACACCCCATCTCGCTGTCTTTTTGGGGCCCATTCCGCAATTTAAACACTCCGAACGGAAGACAGCGCAGGGCGTGAGGTTGAGCGTCACACACATGCTTCTGGGATGCGGGGGTCCATAGGAAACTTGAGTTTCGGTTTGTGTCCAGTTATACCCCATGGTGCGACAACTGCCATCACCATGGCCACTTCACATCATTGGCTAGACACCTTACTCCGAAGGAGTCCTGGCAGGAGGTTGTGCAGAGACAAGTGGCTCTTGACAACAACCCGACTATCGCCTATGACCCCGTGAGCGAGATGACCAGGTGGATTGTCATGGAAGACGAAGTCGACCCGACTATTTTGAAGGAGCGGGCTCGCCACTCATGGACTGTCCCCCGACGGACCAGGTGGATTTCCGAGGAAGACGAAGTTGACCCGACTATTTTTAAAGGAGCGCGCACTGGCCCACCACTTATGGACAGTCAGCCAATGATGTATGCCCAACTGTATGGGCCGGGGCCATGGATAGAGGGACGGCACACGTTTTCTACAGCGAATGTCACGGCCACAGCGGAGTCGGGGTCTACACAGGTTCTGGGACCGGAAAGTACTTGTCCTCATCGACAGTCTTCACGGACCTCCACACCATGCCAGCCCTCGCCATCGATAGGAGTTCTGAGATCACCGGGCCTGGACTGTTTCCACTCAGGGAGTGTGAAAGACATGGAAGACGGTGCACATGGTGGCATGGTACGGGCAGATGCATCTGACGAGGCTGGCGGGGCGGTTGCATTTAGATGTACCACGAAGGCATTGCCCAACTTAGAAGGACAGCTCTGTCGAAGGGGGACACCCCCCGAAGTGTGGATGCACTTGATGTACTGTCATGATGTCGATTTCAGACTCATCTTTTTATTTTTCGTTCCTGTCCTTTTCTTTGCATGCGTGTAAATGGAAAAAAAGCACTATTTATATGGATGCCACACACCGTTTTACGTGATGCTAGTCTGTTCCAGGCCCTGGAGGTGCCCTCTATTACTCTATTATGTTTTTGCATTTGCTTCAAAAATTGGGCAAAAATTCGTTCACAAAAGCTCTTGCACAATTTGTGGATGGAGCGTGTGACCAGCCAAGTACCAAATCCCCATTTCCCCAGACGGCCGTGACCTTGTCCCATCTGAAAAGGTACAGCAGTGTGAGGTGAACCATGCCCAAAACCTCAAATGGGCCCTTCCCAAATCCGCATATTTTGCGGATTTGAGTTTGCAATGTGAGGCATACTCTGGGACCTATAATCCCAAATCCCCCCCCCAAAAAGTGTAATTTGCCTAAGTACCAAATGTACCATTGGTGTGCTCATTCGTCAGCCGCCTGGGAAGCCGCGGGGCAAGGGATTTTAGGTGACCGCAATTGCCCTATTTTTTTCCCCGCATTTTCTGCTTAAATTGGCAAAATTTCATTCACAAAAGTTCTTGCACAACTTGTGGGTGACGCCTTGTGACTAGCCAAGTACCACATTCCCATTTCTCCGAACGGCTGCGACCTTGTCCTATCTGAAAAGGTACAGCCATGTGACGTGAACCATCCCCAAAACCTCAAATCGGCCCTTCCCAAATCCGCATATGGGGTCCCAGTGTGAGTATGCCCTCATATAGGCTCGTTGGTGTGAGGTCGAGGGCGTCCCCACACCACTGTCGAAAACACTATTTCCGATAGTCTCTTGGCCGCACAGGCTGTCGAAATTGGAGACGGATCCAGCGGCCCAGCTCAGTTGGTAAGGCTCGCAAGTGGCATTCAGGCATTTGCCTCATGCCTTCCTGGGCTTACTAGGCGCCCGCTACCCAAGAGAGTGACCACTGGATCCCCCGATCGGCATCAAGTAGAGTCTGCTATGTTCGCAAGGGAGGGGCCTGAGGGGAGGCACGGGGGATTGGTCCGCTTCATCCCTGGTGCTACCGGCCGTCTCCTGGCCAGGCTGGCCGGTATCCTGCAGGCTCGAGGGGCCGTAAAAACACGGCTCTGGTATGCTACGGGTTTCCCCGTATGCCTATAGGTAGGAGTAGTGGTAGGTAGGTAGTGTGAGGAAAAATTGAGAGAAGAGTATAGTTTTTGAAAAAACGAGAAATTGGAGACGGGAAGAAAATTCGCATGTTGTCAGAGAATGCTTCTCGACACCTCCTGGGCCGAGGTCCCACTAGCAAAAAGGATAGGATAGAGCTCCAGAATCTGGATGTCTTTTAAGCACAGATGCAGAAAAGCAGTTCAATCTGGATTTTCTGCACATCTCCATAAACTCGTCCAGATTCAGGCATTCGATCCGATCCTCTTTGCTAGTGGGACCCCGCCCCTGTTGAAAGTTGTTGCCTGAAATTTCATCGAAAAATCAAACGAACGATGATTCCGGTGAAAGCAAAGATACCACAGATGTGAAATTTCATCGAAGAATCAAAAAAAGAAAAAAACTATGTGGCCTGAACGACGGTCAGGATTGTTGATCGGATTTTCTGAAGTTGGATGACCTCTCATACGGCTACTGCCTTAGGTATCATGGCAGAGATAAATTGGCCGCTCTGAAGGTATCTACATTGCGTAGACGGCCAGGTTCACATCATGCACCTGACCTCCTACTCAAAACATGTTTTTTTCCTGTTGCCTATTATTATCTCCAAGAAACTTATAGGAAACCCATCGGTGTCTTCTTCCGTCCAGACACCCAATCGACAATTTCCGGTTCCTAATTGAGAACTCAGCCAAGCGCAGCCTCCTCTCTCTCTCTCTCTCTCTCTCTCTCTCTCTCTCTCTCTCTCTCTCTGTGTCTCTGTCTGTGTGTACGTCTCTCTCTCTCTCTCTCTCTCTCTCTCTCTCACGCACACACACACACACACACACACACACACACACACACACACAGAGTAGCTCCCCCCCAAAAAAGCATACGTCGCGCGTATACCCTTGGATGGACCGCCAGAGGCACCGAGATAGCAGTGTCGGGGGGCACTGTACACGTGCGCGAGAATGGGGGTAACTAAGCGGCTGGGATCAAGCTTACGTATATTCCCTTACTTTGGCAATTCGCAAACCTCGCAGTGATGGCGGACTGTCGGGGGATTGGCAACTTCGGTGACATGGAGGGAGAGAGATTTCGGGTGTGCAGGGCAGAAAGAGACGGTCATTTGAGGGTTATAGTTGCCGTCCAACAGAGCGAGGTCGTTGCCTTGGCCGCCGTTTGCTTTGTTCCCACCGTCGGCGATGGAGGTGTGACAGATGCGCGCATCCATCAACGACCTGAGTGCCAGCCCGCCGCCCGCGCCGCCGGTCGCCACGTTCTTCGTGAACTTGCACCGCGAGACAAACACCGTCACAACAGCCTGCGACGTCCCGCCTACGTACATGCCGCCGCCACCCTTCCCGGCCGTGTTCGAGTCGAAGGTGACGTGATCGAGGACGTAACCAACCGTGTTTGCCGGCTGGGCATCGATGTACACGGCCCCGCCATTCTCTTCCGCCCGGTTGGACTTGAACGTGGTCCTTTCGAGTCGTCCTCGACCCGAAGAGGTGACCACAAACGCGCCGCCAACACCTGACACGCTGTTCCCCTCGAACAAACAGTCGTGGATGTGCCACGTGGCAGGTCCCAGTCCGATCACCACCCCGCCTGCCTTGTTGTTCTTAAATTCGACGCCTTTCAACTTCAAGTTGCACTTGCCCATGTAAGCCGGCATATCAGCAGCGTTGCGCAATAACAAATTCTCAATGGTCACAGAGCATTCAGGAGTCGACCCGTAAGCCCTGAAAATGCCGTATTTGCCCGCTCCATCAATGACGCACTTGCGGCCGCCGCAGGCTCCTTTGATAGTTATAGAGTGGGGAATAGTCGGCAGTTCTTTGGTGAGAACGATGTCGCTGGTGATGGTGACCGTAACGCCAGCCGTCCCGTTGATGGCAGCTGCTAGCTGCTGCTCATTTGCTACGCGGTGAGCGGACGCCGTCTGGCAGCCATAGCCAAGGAGGACAGCAGCAGCCAGCACCACCTGCACCGCGAGGTGAAGCGAAAACCGGTCGGCAGCAACCACCATGAACCGCTGTCTCGCCATCGTAACACAGCCCTGGCCACAGACAGAGAGAGAGAGAGAGAGAGAGAGAGAGAGAGAGAGAGAG